CCCCAAAACCCCAAAACCCCAAAACCCCAAAACCCCAAAACCCCAATAAAAGCTACCACATATGAAAATTAGTAAATACATAAATGAGTTTACACCGCAAAAGGTGGAGTGTTAGCATTCCCAATTATAATTTATTCAAAAGAGCTTCAGAACACTAGTAACTTAGTAATATAATTGCATAGTTCTGTCAGTTCTCGCTGTTCCAGAAGTCATTCGGTAATCATCAAGTTCTTGACTGATTTAGGTTATTCATCCTCCCTTTCATGCGAGATCGCCAAGCTCAAACATCAATCGGTACGTGATCACTTCAATTGGGTGTAAACTGTCTGCATCTGACTTGTCACTATTAGACTCAAAGGAGATATCGTGCTCATCAACAAAGAAACTTTGACCACGATATCTAGTATTTCTCACAATGGCGAATCTTCACACAGAAATATCACTGAGGAGACTCCTCGAGATCAGCCAAAGCCGGATGCTGATCAGCACATGCTTCCTGAACTTGAGATGCCTTTTGTTAGCAGCTCTCCGCAAGTTCTCAGACCCAGAGACAGCAACGTAATTATTTGTAATAACTTTAGACTGAAATGTGACATCACTCTTACAAGTCCATCAGAAGCTTTCGCAGAGACCCCAGCGGAGTATCATGAACAGAGACACCAAAGCCCTGGTTGGAGTCTAAATGAGAAATATAGAAAACATGTTCAGATGCTCAAAGACAAGCTCAGAGACAGAGATTATGAAATCAAAGCTCTTATAGACAAACTTGCAGAGTTTGAACTTCAGAACAATGAAATGACTGTGAAATGTCAGAGGGTAGTCACAGAGAACCAAAGAATTGTAAACAATATGAAGTCTCTTCGTTCGATATTGGATGAGTCTGTCGAAACCAGCCAGCTAGATGGTACAAATATCAGTGAAGAGCAAGTTTCGAACACATTACCAAGAAAGTCAAAGTTGTTATCCAAAAGTTCACCTTTGATGGTAAGTATGAAATCTGCTGGAAGCAAACAGAGCCTAGCATCTTCGTTCTCAAGCAATTCCAGCAGAGTGATTTGGAGAAACTCGTACTTGTTTTAACTCCGTGTTATCACTCAGTCAAATAGAGAAAAGTTAAATGGCCACAGAAATTAGTCCACTCCACGAGAGCTGAGTTCATATTCATCTAAATCAATTTCATTATCTTGGCTTCTATTCGCATTTTATGTAAAGGGGTTTTGGGGTTTTGGGGTTTTGGGGGTTTTGGGGTTTTGGGG